GGGTGGGAGGGTGTGAGCCGCGCCATGGGAGGGTCTCAGGGGCAGGCGTGGTACGGTGGGGCGGGGGCGCTCGGTGGGCCGGCGCCGGGAGCGGCGGGCGCCAGCAAAGCGGCACCCGTCACCGGTTTGGGCACCCGGCAAACGCGTGCCGGCTGGGGCCCTGCGCGGCCCGGCGCCCTTTCAGGCACCTGGGTCTTGGAGTTGAGGAGCTTGCCGACCGAGAGCTTGAAATGACGCATGCCCGGCGGTGCTGCAGGCAGGGTAGGGCAGGAAGCGGCCAGCGCCTGCGGACTCAGCGCGGCCGCGGCCACCATGAGCGCCAGGACCACCGACATTTGCGGCACTTCAAAGGCCTGTCGTGGCACCGCTGCTCGCAGTTTAAGGGGCAAAGATTGCGCGGAGGATTTGGCCGAGTCACTAACGAATGGATTGTGTCGATCTGGTCTCAGCGGGGTGCGTGCTGCTTTGCATACGGTACCATAAGCGAGACCAGAGCGGCGCGCATTCAAGTATGGTACGGCTCGTTTCGCCGGTTGACACACCTTCTCTCACCCTTCTTCTCCACGTCGCATAGTCAACGCGCCATCATGACGGCGAAACCGGATGCCTGCGGGGTGACGTATACGGTATTCAAGCTGGGACAGTGCCAGCTGCATCAGCTGCACACGACGCAGGGACGGGTGAGAACGGCACGTGCGTCCCGCAGCGAGGCGCCGCCACGGCGCGCGCTGTGCGCATGGCCGCAGAACTGAGGCCATAGTTAAGCAAGCGCTCCTGCGCGCCCCACAGGTGTTTATAGCGGGGGAGGTGGCGGCATCGCTGTTTGGTCAGTCGCCTACTGCATTCCTGCAGGTGAGCAGTACATGCGCCCGTGCCCCCTCTGCGCGGCGGGACAGGACACGGCCAGATGGGACTGGACCTGTTTGAATCAGCGCTGCCAAAACAGGGGTTGGGAAGCAGTTGCATGAGTGAGGGTGCAAAGAGGTGAGCAGCACGCGATGAGATGATGCACAGGTGCAGCAGTAACACTGTTTGGGGCGAGAAACACAGCTGATGGTGCCAATCCCGTCACAAACCTATTCGTATCACTACTCTCATCAGCCTCATTCAATTCGGCCGCGTAGGAGCTGCGGCAGGGCAAGTATGCCAAGTTGGTTCTGACAGACCTCGAGGCCCTGCGCGCGGTGGCGGCCCTCGGGCTGCCCGTCGAGAGCACCGCCGGCGCAGCAGGCGCGGCGGCGCTGCCCGCGGCGACGGTGCAGCAGCTGTGAGCCGCGGGCGGCCGCGGGGCCGGCTTGAGGGGCGGCTTGCTAAGCGCGCTCACGCGGCGGGCAGGGCAAGAGGGCGGGGTTTGGAGCCCAGGCAAGCCGTGCTAGCCGTGGGGAATGCCATATAACGGTGGCGGCCATGCTGATGCGGCGCCGTGCTGCAAGGGGACCCTCGCAAAACAGGTCTGCCCGGCCTGCTGACTGATGCGGTCGGTTCGTTGTTCCTCATCCTATTAACAGGATGGTCGACCGCCGGCGCTTGGACCTGCTGCAGCCCTTCAAGCTGGCGCTCCTCAAGCTGGCCTCCCAGGTGGGCGCGATCAGCTGGCCGCAGATCCGGCCGATGAGGCGCAGCGTGCACAGCGTGCACAGCACGCGGGGCGCCGCTCGTGGCACGCACGTGCGAGCCTCGCTGCTGCGGCGCCCGGGCGTTGTGGCAAGTGCTCATACAGGCAGCCGGCGGCTGCCTCGTGTGAGCCAGCAGGGTGCCTGCAAAGCTCGCGGCGCCCTGCTCTGCGGGCTGCCCGCAGGAGGCGGCGCGGCTGATGGCGCGGGGCGAGTACGAGAGCGCTCTGCCTGTGGCCCTGGATGCCGTCAAGCAGGTGGGCTGAAAGCGGATGAGGGTCTGCGGTGCAGTGGCGCATTGTCAATGTCCTTCACACTTGCGTCGGAGCGGGCCGCCGACAGCAAAACAGTCACAGGCACGGAAGGAAAGCGGTGCGGTGTCGGCGGCTGGCGAGGGCCGGAAGTTGAAGCGATGGATGGGCCTGGCTGCTCGGCGCCCTGTGGTGTGGGAGCAAGCTCGCAGCCCAGGCTGCTGCAGCACCATGCCGGCCGCCCGCCGGCGTCGCCGCGGGCCGCCTGCGGCTGAGCAGCGAGCGGCCTCCCCTTCCTGCGCCGGCCGTGCGCCCGCTGCAAGCCGCAGGGCGAGGCGCTCTTCCGGCCTGGGCCGGCGCTGCAGATGTTCCCGCTGTACCTTCTGGCGGCGCAGGCAAACCTGGGACTGAGGTGCGCCGTGATGAGGCCCGTTTTTGAATGCAAGACCGAGATGCAAGTGCTCGTGTGTGCATTCTCATACATTCCGTAAGCTGTTGGGCTGACCTGGGTGTCACATCGTAGCAGAGCAGGCGTGCGCTAAACCAAGTACACACCGCCGGGCCCAGCCAATCAACGCCCGCCGTGCGTGGGCTCGCGCTCGCATTGGCGCAGGCGCGCGCAGCAGTGCAGCGACGCGCTGCGGCTGGCGGGGCTCCTGGTGCTGCGGGAGCCTGGCCTGACCACCAGCCTCATGCGCGGGCAGCTCGCGCGGCTCAACGGCCAGCTGGCCGCACTGCAGGCGCGGTACTGCTCGGGGG